GGATAAACTGGAAGTAATACACACTGTAGTTCCAAGTATTAATGCCTTTCAATCTATAGATCACATTTAAGTAAATCAGTATCTATAAACATATAAAGAACTTTACGAGAGCAAAACTGTTTACTACAATAAATATCCTTGTTAATTTTGTTATATATATTCTGAATATACCGTGTATGACCTGAGCACTGAACGCTAGAACCCTCCCAAGTCGTAAATGAGAAGAAAGAAGAACACTGAAGAAAGTGCTTGTTGGACTAGAATCAAAATGTACAGAAAATCATGGGTATTTATAGATATTAGCGTTCGTTAAATCAACATCATAATTCAACCAATCCGCAAGGAGGTATGTTATGCTACTGATCAATAGTAGCATCCCACGTTGATATTTTAGAAAGCTCCACTGAGTTCTGATTGGACGAAACTCTTCGATTCTTCTAGGGCTTATGGAGGCCCTGATGTAGTTCTCGGAAGCCGTCCCAACAAATTTACGTTATAAATCAGTAGTTGAAACAATATTTCACACCAAGCTTTTAGTTCTAAGTAGAAAAATGCTTTCCACATACTCATTTATGACTAATGATCCAGTTCTAGACCAACAATTTAGTGAAGTCATTCTAATAGCATTCATTATGTAACTAAAGTTATATTTACCTCTGAATAACAGTATTGTACTAAACTATATTCCCTTCAATTTCAGAAAAGTACAATTGATTGAATACAGATCAAAAGGATTAATTTTGATCATAAACTAAACAAATTGGATCCTAAAGAGGATTCCATAACAGTTTTAATACGTAATTATATCAATTTATAACATAGATACTGAAGGCATCGATTTTCGGCTTATTTTACATCATACCTTTATCGATGTTTTTTGTCTCTTGGTTCATACCAAGAACTCATCGTTTCTGTTAATATTATCAATAAGTCTTTGAAATCAAATCAAATCACTTGAAATCTAAAAAATAATGAAGTTATAAAGACTATCTTCATAGGTTTCATTAAACTCATTGAGCATAGTGGCTATTCTAATAGATGAATTCCTAATGATTGGTGAAAATCAAAGCTTGAATTTGAGTAATACTATATTTTGAAAGTATTTGTAGTGACCTACGTTTATCAGGAGAACATGATTGGTTTAATGGAAACAATTATTATTATAACCAATTGTACCAGGGATTGTTTTACCATACTTGTTTGTTTAACTGTATCAAAACACATGCATTCTTCTGTTGATTGTGACCTTCCACGAATTCGGTCACGCTCAGTAACCACACTTGTAACCTGGTATGATCTCGGTATTCTTTCGATACCATGAGGTCGCCAACAAATACATCTCAACTACAGCCATCAACTGCCTTCTGATATTTGGCCTACGAGGGGTCTTATCGGTTAACTGGCACGTAGTCTTACTATAGTGGTGATCATAGTCAACCGCAACTCGACGCCACACTACATATTTATCATATTAGTATGATGTAAAAATATCCTAAGGTAGATGCATGTGCATATACATATATGCTTAAAGTGATCATATGACACAATACTTTAGGATAAGATTTTCGTAACTCTATTAAGTGGTCCCAAATTTGTAAAAACTATATTCGGTGAGACTATAATTTATGGACGACCTTTGAGCGACGTCAGAGTGAGTTTGAAAGTGTCTACCTACTTATTAGGGCTAAATGAAGGTTTTAAAGCAGTTTGAAGAATAAAGTCAATGTTTTACAGTTGGTGGTAAGGGTTAGGAATTAGATTTATGGTTTTCATCACGAACTAACATCAGCTAAAGTGCCACGACGCTATTTTGACCAATGGGTGAGTGAATTTCGCACCAAAATCGAAGACCTGATATCCTAAATCTGATTGGTTTGCCCATAAATTATAGTCTCGCCGATATTTCTTCTTAAAATATCGTACTATGAAATAAACATTCTGGTGGTAAATATTCAAAATACAGCTTACCTTACAAACTTTGTCAGGTTTCATATTTACTATAAATTTGTTGATAATTTTAATCATTGTTGAACTGAATAATGATGCACACTGTAAATTAACAAAGTAATCATAGAACAATTGTTTAATTAAAGAAGTTTTGTGAACTTAATTTAGAAGTTGTATTTGGGATATACTGGTCTTATTGGTGGTACTGATGAAAACCATAAAGCATTGAAAAGCTGCATAGTTTGAGTACAAAAGTCATTAGCAATGTATAGTAACTATCTTAAAATATTCTCGATATGTATACAATGAAATAGCATTAGATAATTGTCCAACTTCATAGTAAATTGACCAGAATTAGAAATGTGCCATTGAACACCAACAGAGTAGTTCTAATGGTTGAGCGTTTTTGCCACGACGACTAAAGGTTCAAGGCCTCATCTATGAAGAAGTCGTGGGTGAGCACTGCTTTAGAGTATCGAATGTGAACGAAACCGTCATTCAGTGTTTTTATTTTTGTGTTTGTGAAAATTATTATTTCATCACTTTGAAGTCATGTTAATAAATAATTTGGTTAACTTTTCTAGTTTAAACCACACAAATTGTGTAGTAGTTCAATTGAATTGTACAAATCAGTACTATTTAAAACAACATTTTATTGTATGCTGTATTCATTTTTCGTGGTGTTGGAGTTTCTAAACTAGAGAATTTAATTAACAGTTGATTGGTACTTTTTTACTGAAATTAGTTGCTGATGTTATTTCCGTTTAGAACAACGTTAGAACAATGAAGTTAGAAAAGTCAATATCATGAGAAACATTCACTTGGGTAATAAAATATCTGCATTATTTCATGAATTATGAATTTGAAATCAGTTATTTTCTAGTTTAAGACCACTACTTGATCATACATAGCACAGATGAATAATCTTTATGAATCCTCATTTCAATATTTGACTTCAAGAGGTATTTCCTAGAGTTCTATTGTGAACCAATGACCAATGGAGTTCAATCGAGTGGGTTATAAGATAGTAACACACTGAAGACAATAGTGGATGTGTTGCTCAATTTGATGGATTAGTTGAAATTAGACATTAACACCAATGGATACTGGTTCAGCGGTCTAATGGTTAAGCACTCATGCTTGAGACTAATAGGTTCTAGGTTCGGATCCATGGTGATCTAACTCCAGTTGACTCATAATCTTAACTATTAAAATTACTGTAATATCCACAAAACCCCTTTTGATATTATTATTGATTCGAAGCAAAAACTTACATTATCACGAAGCGGGCCAGTATACTTACATCCATCGACAAGTTTCATTTCCAATTTCAATTGAAAATTCAAATCCGATAAATCATTTATTACCTTAGCAATTGTTCTATTGCAACGACCACATACTATAAATAAGTAATATCAATAATCATTAGGAAGATACTATCGAAGGTTTAAGACTATATTACTCACCGAATGCTTTTGAGAATAAGTTTCATTTAGTTTAACTCTACTACATTGAACCAATAGACCAATGGACCACGGTATAGACTATAGCGTCGATTGATGTTGAAACACATCAAACTTGTGCAATGTCTGGTGTTTACCAACCGGTAACTCAGTGTCCGAATAACTGATGCTGTATCATATTCAAAACTATCTTTTGTTTACACTGTTTTTAAAAAAGCATTGACTGTTAAAGCTACCAAAAAAACCGATTATTCAAGGACTTCCAATGATGAAAAAGGAGATGGAACAGTTTTATGGTCAAAAATTGAAGGGATGCCATGAACTTTGTATAATAATAATGTATTCGTGCTCTTTGTTTCTATGGGCATTGAGCAGACTATTTACTATGCTTAAATAGAAATGGTATATTTTTCATTCGATTGTATTGACTGCTATTTTACAAATAGTGTTGTTATGAATATGTCTGTCTATAAAATAAATATTTATCTTTCCCTATAATGCTGAATTTTATAAACATAAGAGTTACCAACGTCCTAAATGCCATTTCACTTATTCTGAGTAACATTTGAATCCGTTACTTTATTGTTATCTATTCAACACTATTACCCTTGTGAAGTATACCCAATATATTGTACCACTTACATAATAAATATGTAAACAGAAACTATCATTGTTAAATGTATTCATATGAATTATATACTGAATAAGGATTATCTAAGAATATTCTCTAATGACTAATATATTTTTAATATCAGAAGGGGTTTTGTGGATATTATAGTAATTTCAATAGTTGAGATCATGAGTCAATTGAAGCTAGACCACCATGGAAAATCTAGAAGCACTGGACGGTCGTTTCGTGACTGGCTTCAAAATGTATATCCTGGAGTTCTATTAAGAAGCAGTGACCAATGGAGTTCAACTGGGTCTGTTGTGAGATAGTAACCCACTGAAGACAATCGTGGATGTGTCGCTCAATTTGGTGGATTAGTTGAAATTAGAAATTAACACCGTTGGATGCCAGCCAGCTCAGTGGTCTAGAAGTTAAGAACTCGCGCGCGAGACCGATATGTCCTGGATTTGAATCTCGTGGGGTGGGATCGTGGATGCGCTCTGTTGAGGAGTTCCACAGTTGGACGAAACGGCCGTCCAGTGTTTCCAGGTTTTCCATGGTTGTCTATCTTCAAGTGACTCATGATCTCAACCGTTGTAATATTTTATAGTTTAGGATTAGTTAACTATTGCTACGATGTACTCAGTTAATTAAATCGTGATCGTTTTGCATCTTTTTATTATAGATTACTTATCTTATAAGAGATAATAAAGCAATTTGAATTGAGCACTACTAGATATAAACACTAATTGTAATTTCTTAATGTAGTAATTATATATTTACACAAGTGGTTACTGGTTGTGTTTCCCAATATCTATTTAGTTAAAGTTTGAATAAAGTCTTCTAAAGAAAGACGTGTAGTTTGGTTGCTTAAGTAATTTCAGCCTTTCTATCGAATCAGCTGATCCATCTAAAAAAATGGTTAAAAAATGAATTTTACATTAGGACTGATTTTAATTAGACCATCAGTGTTCATTCGACTGCTGTTTTAGTCAAATGTTTAAAATGATTCCAAATATTTGTTCCTATTAATCTGTACGTCGATGATCTGTGTTACACTAAAGTAGATTCTTTATTGACGTTTATAATTGTTCATATACTTCTAATGCTTTTAATAGGCAACTGCCGATATATTCACTTACTACGTGATCAAGATTTAAAAAAGAAATACACATGATATTTACAAACGATCTCCAAAAACATTAGTTGAGAAGACAAGAAGAAAAGTATGGAAGATAAATAGCCATTTCTCATGAATTATTACTTTAAGTAATAATAATAATAAGGGGATTAGTGGTTACCTAAATTGCTTCACATTGTTATGGTTAAAAGACTGGTAATTAATATGATATGTCAACTATTTGACATGTACAATATCGCAGTTATTTGAATTTTTGTTTACAGATTAAGCAAGGCATGAAAATCCTGCACCAAGATATCAAACCATGAATTTTCAAATTTAGTAATATCTTTTTTTAAAATTAAAATAAACTCACAGTTCAATAAATTTTCATTCTAAAAACAAGATGATACAAAAAAAATGGATGAGTAACAAACAAAGTTTTTATTCACATGTTACCAAGTATGAAATGAACTATTAACATCGGATTCATGATAAAGTTTCGTCCTTTGTAGACTTCGTCAGTTGCTCTTAATACGATAGTTTTCAATCGTTTCCTTTTTCAGTAGTTGAAATCATGAGTCAATTGACGCCAGACCACTATGGATAACCTGGAAGCACTGAACGGCCGTTTCGTCCTAGTATGGGGCACCTCAGCAGTGCGCATTCTCGATCCCGCCCCCGCGAGATTCGAACCAAGGAGATATCAGTCTCGAAAGTGAGTACTTAACCATTTGACCACTGAACCGGCATCCAATGGTGTTAATGTCTAATTTCAACTAATCCACCAAATTGAGCGACACATCCACTATTGTCTTCAGTGAGTTACTATCTCACAACAGACCCAGTTGAACTCCATTTGTCACTGCTCCTTACTAGAACTCCAGGATATACCTTTTGAAGCCAGTCACACATGATCTCAACTATTAAAATTACTATAATATCCACAAAACTCCTTCTGATCTATATTCTATTCATTTATAATTCTCAATGATCTTTTAATTGATGTTAATTCTTGATGAAATCTCCCTATTATAACTAACTAATTTATTAATCTATTAAATCTATTTACAATTGATGTTACTTACTTGAAGATATTCATTATGTATAGTAAATCCTTTAATATAAGATAAATAGATTACTATTAGGAAACATTTATAAAGGAGATATATTACATACATAAGGTAATTATGAGATGAAATTGTCGATTAAACATAATTGTAATTGTACTGTATAAAACAATGGTCATTTTAATGACCATTCCAATGGACTTTATCAAGTATAATGACAGACAATTATTATTATTATTATAAGGAATAAGAGTTGATAATTGAACTTTGAATTGTGATTAATAAACTTGTGATCATTTTATGTTTATATCAAATAGTTTTTTTATATTTAAGGTTATTTTAAAATAATCCATATATTTTTTTTATTTTATAAACAAAGATGGATAGTAACTAGTAGCGGAATCCAGGAGGTGTGTTTCGTCTTATTTAGAATTTGTCAATTGGGTATATCTACATCTTAGAATTGATATTCATTCTGGGACTCGAATCCAGTGTCGTTCGCTCCAAACGCCACCACGTTACCCACTTAGGTACTGAGTCCTGATAGCCACTTGTTTGTGTAATAGGGTGGAGTATTAAATTAACTTGGTACAGTTTACTTGTATTTTCCCATTTATGTTCAGGACTGCAATTGGTCAGTTTCTTATCGGCATATGTTCATACTGTGCGTATTGCATCTATATTACCTTCATTCACAGGCATTCTAAAAAAAGATTGATAGTTGCTAGTAGTGGAATCCAGGAGGCACGTTTCGTCCTATCTAGAACACGTCAGGTGAATGTACCTGCATCTTAGAATTGATGTCCACTCTAGGACTCGAATCCAGTATCATTCGCTTTAGATTCTCACTTAGCTACTGAGTCCTAATAGCCACTTGCTTGTGCAATGAGGCGGAGTTTTAAATTCACTTGGTATTGTTTACTTGTATCTTCCCATTGAATCAATTTAAATAACAATGGGAAAATACAAGTAAACAACATCAAATGAATGTAAAATCTTTTTTTATTCTAATTATGAAAGTATTCATTATAAATAGATATACATTAACATATATTTGGATGGTATAATTATTCTTTGAATCAATGGTTATTTGAAATAGATGTTCAGTGTGACAATTTCAACTAATGCTTAGTTGTGTATCATTCTATCATGATTATAATGTACTGGATGGTAGTTTTAATATGAAGTAGTCAAAAAAGTTAAATGAGTTAATCAAGACAAGATAGTCTTTACAATAGTGATTCATAGTTATTTGAGATTATAATGTAGTGGGGATGTTAGATCCTCAGAACTCATTTGATTAATGTTTTATTTTGGAAATTTGAATTTCTTGTTTTCGCGCCCAAAGCGCCCATTTTCACCTTTATGTTGTACTACCCATTTGGTAAGTATCTAGTACCAAGTATGAAACTCCTAAGTAGAGCAAATCCATAACTAATTTTAACCTGCTATTAGATTATGAATATGCTTATCATAACATCTAAAAATCTTGCTAATGCCTTACTAAATCACCACAATGTGAATACTATCAAAAGACTGTAAATTGAACATATAATCTCTATTTAATTCATCTAAAATTCTTTTCAAGTCACGTAATATAAAATAATCATATTAAAACTCTATGTATCCTTTGGAGGAAATCATCAAATAACCCTCTTATATAATTACCTTTGTTCATTTAAAACAAAAATACATCAAAGGTCAGTTTTTACAAAACCACCAATTCTCTCTCTCTCTCTCTCTCTCTCTCTCTATATATATATATATATATATATATATATATATATATATATATTCTTGAATACTTCCATTATCATTATGATTTATCAACTATTAATTCTATCATCATTAGTTAAGGTTCTAAGTAAGTATAATTTCATATTATGAGGTTTCCACTTTAATGAAGCTTCATCAGCCATCAAGGAATATCACAGTTATGAAAGTGAATTCAATGTAAGCACAATACTTGATTATTAAAACTTTCTTATCCATATTTATATTTGAATAAAATGAGAATAACAAGATTTAAAGAATGAAATGATTTCATTATTTAATTTCAAGTCTTTTTATAAGTTGTAAAAAGTATAAAATTACAAACAGTAACATAATCATAAACAAGGGTTTAACACTCTTTGTGTAATGAATTATATAATACAAAACATATGATTAAACATAGTTTTGATTGGCACGTATTTATATTTTCAATCGTTGAGATTATGAGTCAATTCAAGGTAGACCACTATGAAAAACCTGGAAGCATTGGATGGCCGTTTTGTCCTATTGTGAGACTCCTCAGAAGTGCGCATCCATGATCCCGCCTCGCGAGATTCGAACCCGAGACTTGTTGGTCTGGCGCGCAAACGCTTAACCTCTAGACCACTGAGCCGTATTTATATGTTGAAAAGTGGTCATACAGACTAGATGTGATGTCATAGTGACCGATCAACATAAGGAGATGTACAATTTCATAATTATACTGGCTATTTTTTTAAATGAGTGATCGATTAGATAGTTATTATTATCATATATTATTATTATTATTACTCATATTTAAAAATAACCTCTTACCATCAATTAACTGACGTTGTCTAACAATGTTTTCATTTAAAATGCTTAGTCCTTCAGTTACATTTGTTAATACTGTGTTAAGGTAAAATAAATAAACGGTTCATAACTGTATTATTTATGATAGTTCTACGAAGTGAATAATTAAAAATTAAAGGACTTACTTGTTATACAACAGAATATATTTCAAATCACATCGTTTAATGTCATTAGCTTCTGTTTCTTAATTGTCTAAACTGTTATCTGAACCAAATAGACTGAAGAAATTTATTAGTCAGTCAATGACTTCATAATGAGTTTCAGTTTTATTCTGACTACTTACATGCTTTTTCAAACCCTTCTTTTTATAATCAGTATAGATTATTGGTAAAAATGTTATCTAAACATGGGTAACAAGTGATTCATAAGTGTCAGCTTACCAGGATTTGGAACTAAATCTCCTACATTTCCTTATATATATATATATATATATATACTATTCAATAAATGGATTTATTATATTCAGGCAAAACTACCTAATACTTTTTACATGCGAAGATAGATAGTGGCTAGCAGTGGAATTCAGGACGCGCGTCTCGTCCTATTTGGGACTCGTCAACTAGATGTACCTGCATGCTAGAGTTGATGTTCACTCCGTGACTCGGATCCAATACCGTTAACTGAGTCCTAATCGCCCTTAGTTTGTGCAATGGGGTGGAGTTTAAACTCAATTTCTATCGTTTGTTTGGGAAGATACAAACAAACAATACAAAATTATCAGTATGGGGGTTGTGGAGATTGTTAAGTTTTTGGTTGAGATCATGAATGAATTGATGTTAGACCATGATCTCAACCAAAAACTTAACAATCTCCACAACCCCCATACTGATAATTAACATGTGCTCACTAGTGACTAGCTTCGTGAGGGAATTCTCGGAGTTCTAGTGAGAAGTCGTGACCAGTGGAGCTAATCCGTGTCGAGTAGAGACAGGTATCTACCTCAGTACAATGGAAGGTGGTTGCGCAATTTCGTGGATTGGTTGATGTTAGACACTAACACCACTGGACGCCGGCTCAGTGGTCTAATGGTTAAGTGCTCAGGCGCGGAGCCAGTAGGTCCTGGGTTCGAATCCCGCGGGGTGCGGGATCGTGGATGCGCACTGCCGAGGAGTCCCATACTAGGACGAAGCGGCCGTCCAGTGCTTCCATGTTTCCAACGGTGGTCTAACATCAATTAATTCATGATCTCAACCAAAATACAAAATTAGTTTAATACTATTTACAGTTGCCATTAATCGTTTACGATGAAAATAATGAAGCTTATTGTTATTCAAAATAAATGTATAAATTAAACACATTAATAAACTCATGGTACAATGTCTTAAGTTCATTTCTGTGTTCTATTAAATGATCAACTTAACTATTTTAGAGAAAAATAAAACTAATCCGTAGAAATCCAGCTGTAATAAATATAACAACAGTATTTATAACTCCCCTCAAAATTGTCTCTAATTGTGAAACCAACTTACTTACTTACTTACTTACGTCTGTTATCCCACTTGAAGGAGCATAGGCCGCCCACCAGCACTCTTCATCCAACCCTAATTGTAAAACCAAGTCATAAGTATTTTTCTATTTTTGTTTTGTTTTTGTTTTAGAATATAAAATTCAACCAACTTAAACGCATATATCATCATTTTATCTTAAATCAAAATCCAGCTAATCCTTGTAAGTTTATTTTCCATCAAAACAATAATCTGTTTCACAGGTTGAAATCATGAGTCGATTGAAGCTAGACCACCATGGAAAACCTGGTGCGGGATCGTGGATGCGCACTGCTGAGGAGTCCCATACTAGGACGAAACGGCCGTCCAGTGTTTCCAGGTTTTCCATGGTGGTCTAGCTTCAATCGACTCATGATTTCAACCTTTGAAATTTCTAAAAACTCTCGACAAAACCCATTCTGATAATAATCTATTTATCCTATTATCTACATGAACTTTCTCTCTCCCCCTGATACTCACTCCTTTCTTTATTTCAGCATGTTTCGGTTGTAAATCTGGATTATGGTTGGCTAAAACATTTGTCTTTGGTAGTAAACAATTTGTACATGATCATATTGAAGTGACTTGTACAAATTTAAAAAATATTTATCAACCTGTAAGAAATACAAGATTATGATTTATTTCTAATGAATCCTTATATTTCTTTTTTACTTAAAACGATTCAAGTTATGCATAACAGTCTGCTATGGTCTATGTTGAGATACAGGATGAAAAACTATATATGTGGTAAAAGAAAATTACGCTCCACTACGAAACATTCATCCATTAAATCAATAAAAAAAGAAGTGCTTAGTGAACATAGACACATCTTGAATAAACTATGATCGTTTTATTTATCTTCTGGTCAGCGTTTTTTTAGCGAGTTAGTTTTCTACGGGATGGGGACGCTAACCCCATGCCCAACCCTCCTCCTTTATCCGGGCTTGAGACCGGCAATACCCCCCGAAGGGACTCCAGGCGGAGTTCGTTTTATTTATTCATTTATTTATTTGAACATATAAATATTGGTACAGAGTGGCACCGAATACATATGTGCCACACAAGTCACTTGATTAGTGTGCAGACTATGATACTGCCCGAGTGCCCAGAACAAAGCAGGTGGTTTTCTTAGGGAGGCACACCCGAAACCTTTGACCTAAAGGTTTGATCCACTAGGCTGTGGAACAACGACAGGAGATGCAGTCCCATGGTAGCCGGTGACCAATAATTGGTTCATACGCCATTTTTTTACTCAGGATCGTATAGCCATTGTACATCATTGGTTTGGAAGCAGGATCCACCATATCCACCGACCCGATTAATGAGCCGGATAGTTGGTTCTCCTCCTCTCAGTTTCGTAAACGATAATAATGGTACGAGAAAGCGGTGAATAGGACTTTCGTGGGAGTGGCTGTATGCGCGCGGCCATGTGGGAGTAATTCGAGAAGGAGAGCTGACTCTCCTTACCCTCGGCTATACCAGGGCATTTGGGGGCAGTACTACATTCTATACCATCAAAAGTGATGATAGTCCAAATTAAATTCCGTTTACAAATGGAATAAATATTTGATGGTTTTTTGTTGTAATAATCTCACTGTTTCATGTGATCAACATACATTTCTTGGACAACAATTTCCATCAAGAACTGGACATTAGCTGAGATGTCATTGAGATCCATGATATAAAAAATGAACATCTCCTTCTAGTTTTCTACTGCTACCACTACTACTACACCTAGTGCATTGGAAATAAGCATCCACCATTTAACACCAAAAGGTTTTTCGGGATTAAGAGTATGGATATCCAAACTAGAGCAAAAGAGCTGTCCAACACTCGGTAACTTCCAACCATCTGAAGTTAATTTAGTGATGAAAATTAACTTTATATATTAAATTCTAATAAGATCCATCATTAACAGTTACATGTAACTTAAAAAAAACAGAGATTTTTTAAAAATTTAAGCTTACTCTGTTTAGCAATACTTGTCATAAATTTCTACAATATTCCACTTAATAACTACGATAATCACATTAGGAAAATAGTCAATTTTCTTTGATAAAACAAACACTATTCCACTTAACAACCATAATATTCTGTTTCTTAAAAACTGACGACTCTCTTCTTGGATTTTATATTTTTTCTAGTGTAAAAGAATATTAACTGAATTTCTGGATTATGCTTATGATTTGATATATGCTTACAGTGCAGCCGAACTATGTGCAGTAAGTTGTCTTAAAAAAATATGATAGTATGAATAATTTCCATTGTCAGTGTAAAGAGTTAACAGAAATGACGACTGTCATTATGTGGTGTTGACCATTAAACTCGAAAATCTACGTAAACGCTTCATACTAATAAAAGTATTTTTCTCATTAGTAATTGATTTTGAGAAGTAAATCACGGAGTTCCACTAAGAAGCAATATCGAATGCAGTTTAATCATATTGAGTTTAAGCCAGTTGCCTATCAATAACATTGGGAGATGGTTGCGTATTCTCGTAGATTGATTGAAGCAAAATAATATAAACCATTGGAGACAGGCTCAGCGGACTAATGGTTAAGTGCCCATTATGAGACCTAAAGATCATAGGCTCAGTCGCTGGTATGTTGTGGAAAATCACTGCTGATAGCTCTCGTTCTAGTATAAACCAGTTGCCTAGTTCCTTTTGCTTTTTCATGGTTGTTTAACTAAAGTAAGATCGTAGTGTGAAGTGAGATCAAATAGTGAAATGCTGTGTTTGATGATTTAATACGATAGATAAGAAACCCCATCTTTAAAGCATTAAATAGTAATGTAATACCGCAGAAAATATGAACGTAACCACAGGGGAAAGACTTCAGTAATTCATTAAATTTACAGACTGTAGTCGTCAAAGAATAATCCCAGTTGAGATACGATCGGAAACCGTAAACCTTTGAACAATTATTTTGTGCAAGTAAGGGACATTTTAGCAGTTCTCACTTGTGTTTCCTCATTGTATCGTCGTCACAATGTATCTCAAATCGACTGAATTTGTATATATACCTGTGGACATTTATCTGTTCCTTTTAATGCATTAGCGTTAACCATCAGACCTGAAGGTTGTAAGTCCGATCCCAGGGGAATTCGTTGGTGCATATCACTGAGGAATCCTATACTAGAAAAAAACGGCTGTTCAATACTCCTAGATTTTCTGTTGCAACCCAACTGAAGTCAATATTTAACGAAAGTAACCTACAATCTAAATCACTATCCACCAAATCCCTTTAACTGATTCAATCAATTCGTTATACATTACCTCATTTCTATATAGCCTCACCAGTTTAACGCTTTCAGAGTGAAAGAAAGTGACTAAAAGATAAATCCGGCCGAAAAAAACTGATCATTTTGATTTTTTCCTAAAACCCGATTCCATCCTAACTTTCTTCCACTGTCTTACATCATAGTGTAATCATAGTTAATTTAATTAGTTTAATGCCTCTGCAATTTATTACTATTTCGTTACAAAAATTTATGGTTAGTTTGTACAATTTTTGTTTTGTTTTATCAATCCATAGCTTGCTGGGATATGTGCAAATCCACCGAAAATTGACTGTGAGAACATTTTACTTTTGAATTAGTATGGTTTTCATAATACTTTTTCTTATTAATTGAACAATCGCTTAAAAAAGTACCATTGACTATAGAAATTGTTTTTTTTAATACTTGAGACCATGAATCAGTTGAAGCTAGACCACCATATAAAACCTGGCAGTTCTAGATGGCCGTTTCGTTCCATTGTGGAACTCCTCGAATCTCACGAGGCGGGACTGTGAATGAGCACTGCTGAACGGTCCCACAATAGAATGAAACGGCCCTTCAGTGCTTTCACGTTTTTCATGGTGGTCTATCTTCAATTGACTCATGATCTCAACTATTAAAATTACTATAATATCCACAAAAACCCCTTCTGATATTGAATTGTTATTTAGTCACTATGACAATTCAACTTGACACTATTGTTAATTCTTGATTTGCTAAATGATATTATCACTATCGAAACAAATTGATAATGTCCGGTTAATATTTGACTCAAATGAAATTAAACTTACAGTTTTCATTTTCTATAGTTTGTTGTAGTTTATTGGTATGATTTAATTTTATAGATGATATGTTGATTTTAGATTGATAACAAGTAACCTCAAAATAAACTATCCTTTTCAGTTGAGTTGAATTCTCATCAAATAACGTTATGATATTGGTTGCTATGCAATGACTGATTAATGAATTTGATCCATTCGATTTTATGAATTAATCTATACCGATGATGATGAGCATACTTAGTCTTATACTGTGTTTTTATCATGTCATCTCATTGCTTAGTCTCTAATCAGAATGCTAAGCCAGATAAATAGTCATTAGCATAATGTATCCTTATTATTATTATTTTTCCATTCAAATTAACAGAAAAAGAAAATAATTGTGTTGAAAAATATACAAACCGATTCCCTTGTTAAAGATGAATAGTGGCTAACAGTGAAATCCAGGACATGCGTTTCGTCCCATTTGGGTTTCGTTAGCTGGATGTGCCTGCATCTCAGAGCTGATGTCCACTCTGGGACATCTATCTGTCGAGTCTCAAATAGGACAAAATGCGCGTCATGGATTCCACTGCTAGCCCTCTATCCATCTTTGTTTATAATAGTCATCTATATACATTCGAGATACTACTTATTTATTTATCCAACTTATTTAAAAGATTACATAAACATTTAAATATTTATTGAGGAAAGTAAAATTGATCTTCTTAATTTCCTGCGCTTTTTTCCTAATTAGTTTGTCCACTTTGTTTAATGAGTGTAGCGGAAGGCAAAAATATATTATTATCCGATGCTCTTCTAAACGAACTACAATCTGTATTTGTACATGTATGTGATTATGTAAGATTGGAAGTAGAAGTAAGTAGTGCATATATTAGTTTAAATTATGAGCTTTATTTCTTATTTCATTTTTTATGTTTTATACAATAATGACGACATAAATTTCATTCAAGGTTGTTGTTTTGATATAGATTGAGTATATCCCCAATCTTTTGATTGTTTAATACTTGTGTCGTACCCAGAACTTTTTACCATTTTTCCGTTCATCTATTTGGTGAATGCTGTATATTTGGGAACAATTTTCACAAAAGATATCATTTTGATAAGTTGAGGTAATCAGCGACTATTTACCACAAACATATACAATGTAAAACAGCATGACATGTCTTCAGTCTACAGTAGTAAGGATAGGAGATCAATCGAGCCATATTAATCCCTGCAATTTTCAGTACTGTGAAGATCCATTTTCGCTTTCAATATATCAATAGAAGACGATGATATTGAATGTTCTGGTAGAGAACTCCAGTTGTGAATTTCTTTCGTGTATGACAATCAATCGTTGGTGAACATAAATGTATTAATTTCGTTATTTGGAATAAAAATAATGTTCAGATAAAATAAGTTGAAAAACCGTTACCAGTGTAGTCCAGTCCATGTCAAGTGGAGACAGTTATCCACTTCAGATGATGAATGAAAGATTGTGAAAGATTTATGTTCAGTTGCAGTTAGACACTAACACCATTGGATGCCGGTTCAGTGGTCTAAGGATAAAACGTTGGGGAATGAAACCGAAGGCCCTGGGTTCGAGTCTCCAGTGTGGGATTGTGCATCTGCACTGCTGGGGAGTCCCATATGAGAACTAAACGGTCATCCAGTGCTTGCAGGTTTTTATTTGTGGTATAGCTTAGACCGACTCATGAAAATAAATTGAATATTAATGAAAATCAGAATGTGCCTCATGAAACGCTATCATTCATTGCGATATTTATTGAAACTTATTAGGCTTTTCTATTAGTCTAATTCAAATCATGTCATATAATGAAATCCTAGTGTATCAAATGTTAACCGGAATTTTCAGTTTTAGTTATATCCACTAATAAACGAAGTGACTGAATACATTTATAAGGTTATTCATAGTCTGGATCATCTAGTGGTAATATCTTTGACAATAATACTGACTGATACGAGTGTTGTTATATCCAGAAGGCTGTTCTTAATATACCGCGTATAACGTGAGCACTAGAACGCCAGAACCCTTCCAAGTCGCAATGAGAAGACAGAAGACTAATGAAAGGAATATTAATCCCAGACAGTGTCAATTATAGTACAAAATTGTCAGGTATTTATAGTTTTTAGTAAGAACGAAATCATGACAACAGTCCACCAATCCGTATACAGGGGTTATTAGCATTGTCCAATCGGGAAGCTACACGTCGGAATTCTAGAATATTCTTCCAATAGGTGATGGGATGGAATATCTTCGACTCCTTCTGAGCCTCCTACGGCTTTCTCGAGTTCACCCGTGGTCCGTCGTCACAAGTGCAAAACCAACGAGAGAGATCATAATTCTTTCCCCTTCCCATCAAAATTACACATATGCCTTACTAACAACTGTCAGTATATTCACAGAACCAAACACATAACCCTAATAAATACATTTTTTGTTATATCTCAATGAGCAGATAAACTGTATTTCTGAGGTTTCGTGACTTAATGTAAACCACTTCTTCAGAGTAAATAAATAATCGAATTAAATTAACACAAGTTTAAATAATACAAAGGAAACTATGACGAATAATTTTGGTACAATAGGTTTGCATATGTCAATGTTAAGTTAAATTTGTATGACCTATCACTGTATTAATTTGTGGGGCAGAATGTGGGTATGAAAAGTGTGAAAAATGTATGCATATGTAATATGAAGTAGTGGGGTTGAAATCAGGTGCGTGCGAGTGTGTGTAGATTGTGTGGAAATAAATAAGGTCAAACGTGAAAAATTCACTTGTATCTTCCCATTAATGTTTAAGACTGCAATTGATCAGTCTCTTATTGGCATATTTGCATACTGTGCGTATTGCCTCGATATTGCCTTAATTCACAAGCATTCTAAGCAAAGATGGATAGTGACTAGTAGTGGAAACCAGGATGCGCGTTCCGTCCTATTTGGGAATCGTCAACCGAATGTGCCTTCATCCCAGAGTTGATGTTCACCCTGGGACTCAAACCCAGTATCGTTCGCTCCAAACCCCATCACATTATCCACTTAGCTACTGAGTCCTAATAGCCACTTGCTTGTGCAATGGAGAGAAGTTTAAATTCGCATGGTATTTTTTTATTTGTGTCTTCCCATTGATGTTCAGGACTGCAATTGATCAGTCGCTTATAGCATATGTGCACACTGTGCAAGCTTCGGCTACTCGCCTCTGTAGTTGGAAAAGCCTTACATAACCACATTGGTTGCCTCTCATTTTACATCCAAATCACTCAAAACTAAAAATCACCAAACACTCGTCTCATTCTATTTCGACACCACTGTTATGCAGTACATGTCATATGAACACACGAGGTATCGAAACTTAATTTTCAATCTAAGGAAAAAATTTTCAGAAACCCACATGTATCCAAATCATAATAAATCGAGTAATCCATATCTTGCCTTCAATACAAAAAAGAAATGACATACTGTAGCATAGTTTATTTTAAGTAAATTTCGGTTCTTCATTATAGTAGTAAATGGTACTTAGAGTATCATATATATGTAATGAATGGACACTCAAGTAAGGAAGATCAATTTGTTGTTGAATACAAAATTGCAGAGTTCGTTCGTAAAATGAGGAATACCATACATTAAGTATTTTATTTTCAAATCCTCCATCAGTTGTCTCAAACTTCATCGTTCCTTCATTACTATTGCCATTAATCACACTCTATTTACATTCACATTCTCATCAATTCGATATTCTCAAACTTCTGCTGTCAGGCATTACACTTCTAATTTATATCGACATAAATAATATTAAAATATAAAATATTATAAACATATATTGAAGTTTCAATAGTTGAGATCATGAGTCAATTGAAAATAGACCACCATGGAAAACCTGGAATCACTGGACGGCCGTTTCGTCCTATTGAAATTACTACAATCTCCACAAAACCCCTTCTAATACTAATCAACATATTCTCACTAAAGACTAGCTTCAAGAGGTATATCCTGGAGTTCCAGTGAAAAGTAGTGGCCATTGGAGTTCAACCGGGTCTGTTGTGAGATAGTAACTCACTGAAGACAATGGTGGATGTGTCACTCAATTTGGTGGATTAGTTGAAGTCAGACATCAACACCAAAGGATGCCGGTTCAGTGGTCTAGAGGTTAAGCAATCCCGCGCGAGACTGATATGTCCTGGGTTTGAATCTCGTGAGGCGGGATCATGGATGAGCACTGCTGAGGAGTCCGACATTAGGACGAAACGGCCGTCCAGTGTTTCCAGGTTTTCCATGGTGGTCTATCTTCAGTTGACTCATGATCTCAACTATTGAAATTACCGAAATTTCCACAAAACCCCTTCTGATATATTGAAGTATTGTATTTTATTTATTTATTTTATAGTGTTCCACATTTTTGAATGAACTTTATAAAAATGTTGTCGATATAATCAAACATGTTGTAGAACCACATTTTGTTTGTCAGGTAAATACTTAATTTAAACATTAATTATTTACAAACACATTTGATATAGTTATAGAAAGAAAACTTTTTAAAAGAAAATCGAACGAGACTATAAGTTATGGACGAACCAATCAGATAACAGGTCTAGGATTTTGGCGCGAACTTCATTCATCTATTTGGCTAAAAAGAGTTTTGATATTATAGCTGATGTCAGTTCGTGATCAAAACTTTAGATTTAATTCCTAACCCTATCCATAAACTGTAATTCATAATTCGAATTCCTCATACTAGTTTATAATCCTCATGTCGTCCTAGCTATTAGGTGTACACTCTCAAGGTCAGTTTAGCGTCTCTCGAATGTCATCCATAAATTATACTCTCACCGAAAATTGGTATCTAATACAATTTGAATACGGTATTGTACAAATAGGGGGAAAAGTAGATATTATTTAAACACAATAAACAAAAAACTCACATTGTTAATGGAGTTAGATCACCATGGAAAACCTGAAAGCAATGGACGGCCGTTTCGTCCTGCTGAGGAGTTCCATAGTAGGACGAAACAGCCGTCCATTGCTTTCAGGTTTTCCATGGTGGTCTATCTTCAGTTGATTCATGATCTCAACTATTGAAATTTCGGTATTTACAAAATCAATAAATTCTTAGTAGATAACTAACAATGGAATTCAGATCTTCAAATTCCTAGATATCATCGATCTCTGATCGAATTCAGTCTTAGATATCAACAACGAAAAAATGACATTCCTTGTAGTTAAAAGTAAAGAAAATTCCACAACTGTTGGATAATTTGATGAGTATTGTGGTCACGTATTTTGAAGAGAAGGAAGAATACTTCTAGGACCGAGTCTTGATGTAAACATTAACTCTATGGTATAGATATATCCAGAATTCCTCTGCTAGCTACTGTCACATAACATAATGTATCAATTAGGTATTATGAACACATATTAGATGGGATTACGTTTAAAATGGTTGTACTCAACTATGAGAATTAACTTTGGAATGTTTACAAATAACTAAAAGTCATTCAGTAATAAGCAACGTAGAGAGGAATTGTCAAGGTGAATAACGGAGTAATATTAGCATCCATTGTAGTTAAAAGATAAGGAGTACAGAACATAACTGGAGAAAAATGATTGAAGTTGTAAGATAAATAGCATAACATAAATTTAAAGTACAGGATCGAGGGAAACAGAAATAGTGAATGCATCTGCACCTTGCGAATGGTTGTGAAACAATTTCACGTAACGACTTCAACTCAATCTTCGAAAATTCACAATATCAGCAGCCAATCTGCTATCTTTGTCAAGTATCCTAATAGCTGGTGTGTTTTTTTCGTTGTTCAAGTAATTGATTTCAAGAAAACACAGTCGGTGTTTTGATTCAAACAGGAAGCTTCAGTCTCAGAAGATAATTTAGCACTTCCAAAATAATCCTTTATCCAGTAGTTTAAAAGAATTGATATGAATAAAGTTGAAAAAAATGAACCCCCTAACAGGCAACCCATAAATTCTAAATAAGACGAAATGTACTTCTTGAATCCTAATTCTAGCCATAATGCCAAATCGACTCAATCCGCTTAACAAAAACATATCCTCAGAAATTAACCAATTTTTCTTCTGAATATCGGCATTGGAAAATTACAAACTCTTGTTAATAATTTTATAGTTGAATTCATGAGTCAATTGAGGCTAGACCACCATTGAAGACCTGGAAGCACTGGATAGCCGTTTCGTCCCAATATGGAAATTCCCAGCAGTTCTCATCAATGGTCCTGCATACGGGACTCAGAGCCAGGACCTTCGGTCTCACGCACAAACGCTCAACATCTAGACCACTTAGCTGGCGTTCTACGGCGTTAACATCTAACTTCAATCGATACACGATGTTTCATGACCATGTCGTGAGCGAGACAGAATGTCCTGGATTTGAGTGTCTTTGATGTGGGATCATGGATGCGCACTGTTGAAGAGTTCCATACTAAAACGAAACGACCGTCCAGTGCTTCGAGGTTTTCCATAGTGGTCTAGCTTCAATTGATTCATGAATTCAACTATTAAATTACTAAAACTTTGGTTTTCGTCTAAAAATTTTATTTAACTTAGGAAAGTTATCCATTCTAGATAGTCTAATTATTCTTTTATTTATTATATTATTTTTAGCTGGGTCACATGTGTAATGCAACATATACAGAAGGATCGGATTACATTAGAATTGCATAAGAAGAACACTTTTTTTATTGGTAAACCAATTGCATGAAAATGTATTGTTATTACAATTTTAGAATCAGCATACAAAAATAAATCATAAAAATTATAGATCATTTAGAATATTCATTGTTTTGTATATAACTGACGATCAAATCATTGTCTAAAGTGATATTATTCATTTTATAGATCTTTAAATCTCTTCAAGTCAATATAGACTAAGCAGTCCTTGTAATCGGCACATTAACATCTACAGACAAAAATGCCTAATTGACAAAAAAAACCTCTGTTGAAATATAATAGACTATGATGATGTTTTAACATTACAGGAAATCATTTTCGGCATTAATAGTCCACTGGTAACTTACCGACTGTTACATAGCGCGATAAGAAATCAAAGATAACAAAGAGAAATTGGTTCGGTCAGAATTCTAGGAAACTTTTACTGATGTGTACTTGAATGCAGAAAACTTAGAGAAATCAATTCCTATGGATTCTTTAGAATCAACTAACAATAAACGACGTACATGCATACAAAAATACTAGCAATCTGCATTTCATAAAATATAAAGCATGTGTAAATGTACACATGTATTTAATTTAACCAGCATTTGTTTATCTATTATGAAAACTGCTTTACTAAGTAAACACATTAACGACTAACCTTTAACTTCATTACATCCTAAATGTGTTCAATTTATTTGTGACTATTGTTTCATGATAACTTAAACTTCAAGATTCCATGAGTGTGGTAAGCAAAATCATAAGTTGAAAAACAATCCTAGTTTTTTATTAGTAAGAGGATTTGTGGAAATTGCAGTATTTTAACAGTTGAATTCATGAGTTGATCCAAACTGGACCGCCATTGAAAACCTGGAAGTACTGGATAGCCATTTCGTTTTATCATGGAACTTCTCAACAGTTCGCACCCAAGACCCTGCGTACGGAACTCAAAGCCAGGACCTTCAGTCTCAAGCACAAATGCTTAACCTCTAGACCACTGATTTGGCGTCCAACAGTGTTAACATCTAACTTCAATCGATACATAATATTGCATGACCATCTCGTGAGCACGACAGAATGTCTTGGATTCGAGGCTCTTTGATGCGGGATCATGGATGCGCACTGTTGAGGAGTCTTATAACAGAACGAAACAACTGCCCAGTGCTTCGAGGTTTTCTATAGTGGTCTAGCTTCAATTAACCCATGAATTCAACTATTAAAAATCCTAGGTTTTCACTGGAACTTATTAGTTTACTTATTTAATATAATAAAATATGGATTGCTGCTACCTTGAAGTGGTGGTCGGGCTTGCCTATCGTGATGACCCAACCGAGCTATATTGGCTGGAACATATGTTCCTGTAGGTTCTACCATGCTAGGCAGGTCTATTGGAGAACGGTAAAACTAAAAGCAGCAACTCAAGGTCTGAGGGCGAAGTTGTACTGCTGACTGTAGAAGGGTGTAACAGCGGTAAGGTGTTTACCTTGGACAACCAGCGTCTGCAGAGGTGCCGCCTTCTTACAAGGAAGGAATGGATTAGAAAAGGTCGACCCTAAAAATTTCACACCTCACCTTACCTCACGGATTTCCGTCTCCGGGGGTAAGGCCCTTTGAAGCACGAAGCTAACATGTTAAAAGCTCGCCACAAAAAGGCCATGCGTGACCGGCCTCAAGCAGTTGTCCCTTGGGCTCTGCGGTCACGCTCCCAAGTCGTTAATACCAACACTAATCCAACTTTTTTTTCAGGTTCTTCAAGAAATACCCTTCCAAGGTTTGGGTAGCCGGGAAGTTATATCAGCCCTCATACCCGTAACAGCACACGAGGCCAAGTCGGTCACATTCAAATCCTTCCTACACCTAATTCCTCTCTTATCTCCACGACTAACCTTTCTCACGTCCCTCTATCACCTCGTCCCACTAAAGCAAACGATTCGAGTACGCGGAACGTTATTCCTGGTCTCCTGAAACCACGCTCTAAACTACATGTAGGAGCTTTTAACGTCAGAACACTGCGCCAAATAGGACAACAGGCTTCCTTAGCTAGGAATTTAGAGTCTCGCGCCATCGATGTGTGCTGCGTCTCCGAAACGCGCATACAGGATTCGAGTAGTGTCATTCACCATATCAATGTAAAGAACTAACTCGATTCACACTTCGTGTATCTGGAAGCCATGATGCTGCTTCCCGTGGCCTCGCTGGCATAGGTATAGCATTGATTCCTAGGGCAAAACCAGCTCTCTTAGACTGGATCTCAGTAGACATTCCAACTAAATGGAACAGCAAGGACTCGGAAAGATAGGGATACTCATCGTTGCCTCTTCGTCGTCTCTGCCTACTCTCCCACTGACTGCAGCTCAGATGATGTAAAAGATGAGTTTCACAGAAAGCTTTCCGCTCTGATTTAGTGATAGTGACTGGTGACTTTAATGCCCAAGTAGGTAAACTAAGCGAAAGGGAAGGACACATGGGTGGATCTTATGGAGTCGCGGCTCAAAGAACAGATAATGGCGACCGTCTGTTGCAGCCATGCTCAGATAACCGCCTGTTCCTTGCAAATACTAACTTTAAGCATAAGGAAAAACATCTTTTAACATGGCGACCCCCTAACTCGTCCAACGTTGGACCCACCGATGGAGGGGCTCGATAGAAGACTATCGCTCGTTCTGGAGCACGTGCTTAGACTCAGATTATGCTCTAGTGTGGGCGCATATTTGTCTGCGTCTTACTGGACATAAGAAAGACGCTGCAAGGAAACCTCTTAGAGTCCTACTTAATGATAGCTAACCTAAGAATATATTTCAGGAACAGCTAAAAAGCAGGTAGGCAGCCGTGTAAGTGGTGCTCACCCCGAGACAAATTGGAATGACATCCGGAAAGCTGTGAAAACAGCAGTGGTATCCGCTAGTACGGTAAACCATAAGGTTAGGGTGAAACACTGGATATCAGCAGCATCTACCACACTGATAGATGCTTGAAAACTCATCCCATCTAACTCTGAACATGACGAAGAGCGGAGTCACCTTAAGCGCGGGCTGACAAGAAGCCTACGCAATGATCGTGAACAGTGGTGGGTAGCGAAAGCAAGAGAGATGGAAATGGCAGCGGCAATAGATGACATCAAACAACTGTTCAGACTTGTTAAGGAAACCGGTATTAGGAATACGACAGTTAGAGAAACTATCCCAGAAAAAGATGAATATATTATTCATTCTCAATCTAGGAGATTGGATCGATGGGCAGAACACTTTAGGGATCAGTTCAACTGGCCTTCAGCCACACTCCGGTTTACCACGATCTCCAGTCAACCTGAATGGCAAGTTAATTTAGGTCCTCCGACTCTTTATGAAGTTGAAAAAGCTATAGGAAATCTGAAGCGTGGGAGAGCAGCAGGTCCTGACAGGATTACTCATGAAATTTTTAAGGATAGTGGTCCAGTATTAGCAATGAGATTAACCGAGGTCTTAGGTAGAATTTGGGAACTGGACGTAATCCCATCTGACTGGTCTCAATCACTGATTGTGCCAGTCTGTAGGAAAGGACAAAAGTCCTCTTGTGATAATCACAGAGGAATCACTTTGACTAATATAGTGTCTAAAATATTAGCTTCAATAATATTTCGACGCCCAATCAAAGCTTGTGAAGAGCAGATTAGAGAAAACCAGGCCGGTTTTCGACCTGGACGTGGTTGTATTGATCAGATACTCACACTACGTCAGCTTCTAAAACACAGACACACATTCAGACGCCCCACAATGGTAGTATTTCTCGGCCTCAAGGCGGCGTTCGACTCTGTCGATCGTAAGGTTCTATGGCAGTGTTTTACAGTGAAAGGAGTACCAAAGAAGTACATTAACCTTATAAAGCTCTCTACTCGAACACAACTGGTCGAGTGAGAGCTTATGGCGAACTGTCATCAGAATTGATTACCTCAAGTGGTGTTCGTCAGGGTTGCCCGCTCTCTCCATTCTTATTCAACTTTGTCGTCGACGTACTTTTAGAGATAACACTTTCCTCGTCTAAATTTCCAGGGGTTGAACTACTACCGGGAGATTCACTTGTTGACTTGGAATATGCCGATGACATAGTCTATTTGGTGAAGACGCTGACAAAGTGCAGAGTCTTCTGACCACTCTAAGCAACAATGCAAGCATGTTCGGGATGCAATTCTCCCCATTCTCGAAATGCAAAATGTTGCTTCAGGATTGGGTTGTACTGACACCCGAACTAATGATAGGGAGTGAAGTAATTGAGCGTGTCGATCGCTTCACTTATCTTGGGAGTCTCATCAGCCCTTGTGGTCTGGTGTGTGACGAAATCTCAGCACGGATACAGAAGGCTCGACTAGCTTTTGCCAACTTGCGTCATTTATGGCGTAGGCGAGATATCCGTCTATCAACCAAAGGACGTGTTTACTGCGCAGCAGTTCGTTCCGTCCTACTTTATGGCAATGAAACATGGCTGGTAAGAGTAGAGGATATTCGTAGGTTACTAGTATTTGATCATAGGTATCTTCGAAACATTGCTCGTATATCCTGGTACCATCGAGTGAGTAACGTAGTTGTTAGGAAACGGGTACTAGGTAAGGATGGCAAATCAATTGATGAAGTAGTGAAAATTCATCAGTTGAGATGGCTGGGACACGTGTTACGTATGCCCAACTGCCGACTGCCTCGACGTGCGATGTTCAGTGGTATAGGAGTAGGTTGGAAGAAAGCTAGGGGCGGCCAGACCAAAACATGGCACAAGTTCATGAAGTCACTGACAAGTGGACTGAGTCATGTTGGTAGGTGTAGACTACCTGGTTGGGGACCGCGAGGTGATAGCAACCGATGGTTAGAGACCCTGAATGACATGGCTCAAAATCGTTTGCAATGGCGCAGGTGCATCCACTCTTTGTGTTCTCCCAAATTCTAATTTTCTGAATTCTTCATGTCCTTTATTTTCTTTCAAAATTTATTTCACTGTATTATACTCTTTGAATAAGATCTTCAAACTCTAATCTTTCCAATTACTGTTTATATTCTTACCGCCTCTACCACTACGGGATTTGAATCGATAACTGCATCTCTCTGCTAATGTGGTGTGGCAACCTGAACTGATGTACGTACGTACGAAGTTCT